ATCAAGCATTCGTGTAAGTCTATTTGTTCAAACGAATTTGTCGCTTAAAAGAAGATTTGTTCCAGCCACTTTAGGTGAAGATGTTGTTTAGGCAAGTCAGTGATACTGCAACTTTTCTTCGGATAATTCCAGCATGCAGAGGATTAAACAATCCTCCAGATCTGTGGACAATTAGTTCACTGGCAATTTGTATGCAGTGATCTGGCGTTTCAGGTGTTTTGATCTTGCCACTTTTTGACCATTGATATTGGAATGTACTCTTGCCCTCTCCAGTATTGCTCCAACTTCCAAACTTGCATGTAACCTCTACATGCTGACACTGTCTTTCCCTGCACAGTAAGAGCGAACTTCATCTTTATTTCAGCTCCTCAAGCACCTGCTAAGAAGAGCTCATACTTGAATAATGTGGGCCTGGCAACACTCGAAATTGGAAACTCAAAATGTTACAACCTAATGGGTGAACCAAAAGTTTTCGACTTGGTTATAAATCGTTCTAATTCAACTGGAAGGCTGTTTCGAAATTAGGGTACACAAATGACTGGAAATTATGCTTCCAAATTAACGGCGAAGTACCATGCCTAACTTGACCTCTGCGATATCAGCATCCACTTGCAGGGAGATGTAGTAATGCCCAAATTGTGATATTAAAGTGAATAGTTATATCATTCATATTCTGTAAATATGCAGAGAGACCTGTCAGCAACTCTCCTGGAACTTCAGTAATCCAATGCGACTGAGTAGTTGGATTGTGTGCAAAAGTCTTTGGTGCATCGTCTTTAGATTCGGATAAATCTCTTGTCCGTTTCGTCTGTACCATCGCGAAACTATTCAGGAAATTTCACCAATCAAGCCATTTGCCAAGTGAGCCTAATTACTGCCTGATAAGATTATCCCAAAGAATGGTTTATTGTCTGGCGATGCCTATATCCGCGAAAGGTAGGAGAGATTAGCAGAGATTTATTGGAATTACTGGACGTTGCGTGATTACTTCTTCACACAAACCAACCGCTGCAATTGCCCAGTAGGAATGCTCGCTGATCTACGGTGAGGCTAAGTTG